TCCAGACCCTGTGCTTCGTATCATGATTACAGAGAGGAAAGACAAAAAGGGAACATAATCCATTTCCACCTTCTCTCATCTTAGCATCCCTTCTCCCTTTTATTTTGTGCCTTGAGGTTGAAAGATACATAGACACAGACATACACACACACACAAAGCAGGCCCCACACTGGAGTCTTGTTGACTCTAAAGGCTTCCTGTAGAACAAACCAAGACAGGCAAAAACCAGGCATAACTGACCTGCTGGGTTCTTTTCATCAGGTTTGGGGTGCATGAGACGAAAGGGCAGCTCTGTGCCCACCTCACTGTGGGGAGAAAAGAGAACGCATCAGATCCACAGCTCCCTTCACACCTGGTTCAGTTCCCTTCACACCTCTGGCCAGCCCAAGCCCTGAACTCCAGCTTCACCCATTCTTTCATCTTTTTCTAATCATAATTTTCCCCTCAAAAAGAGTTAAACTCCGATTTCTCCACAAATATCCCAGGCATACTCCCTGTAATAAACTGGGTTTATTATGTGCTGAATGTACTCGTATGTATATAAAAACAGAAATATTTTTGTACTTGCTTCATCTTCACAGCTGAACACACAGACTTCTTATTTCTGTCAGGTTAGGGGACAATTAATTATTTTTTTTAATGGGAGGCAGAAACGGGAATAGGAAAGAGGGTTAAAAAAAATAAATGAATTAACAACTATGACTGGGTGGTCTGAAAAGGAAGATGACATTTACCTGGAAGTGAGGTCCCCCAGCATGCTACAGAAGAAAACAAGAAGAAAAACAAAAGCATATTTAGTTCCTTTCCACTCTGGTGCTCTATCAAATGCTGTTTTATCAGTAGACTATCGAAATCACCCTCCTCATATACTCTTCCTTACTGGCCACAAAGCATAACATCCAAATAAACTTGCTTTTAAAAAAGGTAATTTTCAATTTTCATGTCCTTCCCATGGAGAAGGAGTCTAAGTTTTCAAACTCCTGACCACGCGCTGGGCATGGCTCCATTTTGGAGAGCCAAAGGCCAAGGGCAATTGGAGGACCATAGAAGGCAGCAGTTTTATCACCCTTTAGGCAAATGATTGACTCATTTTTACAGTAGAAAGAAAGGTAGATGAATGAAATACAAATGTAAACAGTGACTATCACCAGAGTTATCCTTGTCCTCTTTTGCACTGTGTGCTGAGAACTAGCTCATGTTGATAACATCCACTTCTTCCAGAAAGCTGGCTCAGTACAGAACCTGAGCTACAGAATTTATGACTCTTGGGCAGATGTCTCTACCTTCTGCTCTGGGAGAACGAGAACACCAACATAAAGGCTCACGCAAAGTTTCGCCTCAGGTCTCACAAAATAAGTTATGGCTTTGAAACAAAAAATTTCAATGGAAACCAGAGGTTCATACTTCAGTCATAAAGTCATATGGTATCTAAGGAAGGTAAATCCAACCCCTTTGGCTCAGGACAAGTCCTTTGGAGAGGCCAAGACTGATTTCCAGGCAATTTATACTTTAGAGGGAGCCTGGTATCCTACAATGCGTGTCCTTTCTCTTAGGGTGGACCATCCTGCCCTCTCCCAACTCACCAATGAAACACACTCCCCTTACTAGACTCTGTGCAGATGCAGCAAAAGGTCTGTTATTCTTACCCTGGAACAGTGAGCTTCACTTTGACCTTGTAGGAAACCAGAATCCCCATCACTGTCTTGTCTATTCCATCCTTTATACTAGCAGAGAAAACAGACAGCAGCGTTAGGCAGCACAGCAACAGAGAGACAACATAAGGCTGCAGCAAGAACTGGGTGAACCTGAACAGGGTGTCCTCAGGGACAACTAATACCTCTCCAGATCTCTTTATAACCTTCCACTAGCTTGGACCATTTAGAGAACTCTACTTACATGGTACTAGAAGCCAAGTTGGTATCCTCATCCTTCAGCTTTCCATCCAGAGCTATTTCCCGGGTCTCCCGGTTATTCGCTAACAAGGGCAAAAGGGTCAGTGTCTTGGTCAGGCTGCTGTTTGGCTGCACCTTTTCCCTGAAAATAAGCAGCAGGTGAGAGAAGGAAAGTGAAACACTGATTTGTGTTACACACCCAACCAAGACAAGAGAATTTCAAAACAGGCTACAAAGCCATCCAAAAGGAGTGGGATTTATCTGCCCAAATTTAGTTGTCTACGATGCAGATGTCTACACCTAAACTAGTCAGAAAAAATTCCCTTTATAATCAGCAGAGGAGCAAGCACTTGCAGAAAAATATTAATTTCACATTAAGGCAGACTTCTAAAGTAGGTCTAACTATGCTGCAGGCCTCTAAATTTGGACAACATAAATCCTAGTTTAGAAGACCAGTACTCAAGGGAAAACAGGGCCCCTAAGCTACAAGAGCAACAAAACCCAGAAAAATCTAAAATATCTGTGTGTGCCCAGCCCTCCTCACAAAGCGAAGTTCAATGCTGCACTGGCAGTGCAGTGCAAAGGAGCAAGTGGTTCTCCACACTGTCAACTGGCTCGAGGTTTTCAGGAGCTTTCCGAGGCCAGAAGAAACCAAATGAAACAGCACGAAAAAGACTGACCTCAAACTACAGCATCCGTGACTCCCACTCAAACAGCAGCACCTTGCAGAAAAATGCTGCATCTCTATTTAAAGATTTCAAGTAATGGGGAGCCTTCCATAGCCTCTGCTAAGTTTTGTCTAGTAGGTAATTACTCTTCAAATAAAATCCCTCTTCTGCAACCTCCCCCTGTTCTCTGGAAAAAAAAGATGCAGGTACCTGCTGGCTATGAGAAAAGGAGAGCAGCTGCATCCAGAGAGTACAGATGATGTGGGGAACACACACAAGAGGTGAGAGGAGGGAGCACTGTAACAGCGGGCAACTGCAAGGCTACAGCTAAGGAGTGCTTCTCATTACTGAGGAGGAGGGTAATTAAAAGGGTGCGAAGGAGGAAGAAGGGATAAGCAGAGCATTCACTCACTGTGCTTCCTCAGCAGCTACCACTTTTGTATAGTAGTCACTGGAATACAAAACCACATTGGCAACCTGCTCCACTGAGTGAGAAAGGAGAAAGCAGACCATCAGTTGTGCAGAGGCATCAGGAACACAATTGCTACCAAAGTCTATCTCACCTGAAAGGCATCCAGCCTTGATTTGGAGATGGGTTATTGACAAAAAGTCAATAACCCATGTCTTCCCCTGCTCTTTCCATTATAAAAATCTCCCTCCTCTAAGCATGTCTGGTTTTGTCACTCTTGTGATCTTGTGTACACGTCCAGCCTTGATTTGGAGATGGGTTATTGACAAAAAGTCAATAACCCATGTCTTCCCCTGCTCTTTCTATTATAAAAATCTCCCTCCTCTAAGCCTGTCTGGTTTTGTCACTGATATCTCTTGTGTATCTACAGACAATGCATTTGCATTCAGGAGACACCATCATCCAGCAGACTGGATACCAAACTGCAGTCAAGAGCCTGTGATAATAAACGGCTTATATTCTTTAATCAAACACCAAAAATTCCCCATAGGGTAACTCTGACTGAAACACTGATGAGGAAAGAATCTGGGTATTAGTAAGGTCTTTTTTAAGCCTGACAGAGGTGTGTCAACCTAAAAATATTTGGGAATCACTAGACAATGTATCGAAGGCCAGCACTGAATTGGCTTTGTCTAGTATAGAGTTTTGTAAAAACCTCAGCAACTTTGGTCCCTCCTTGCCTTCCCTTCTCTTTCTCATCCTGTGCCTCTCAGTCTTCCACAGATCGAAGCGCAATGGGGCTCGTGGGATGGAAACATGCAGTGCCACAAATAAAACACAGGCACGGTACTGAAACTCCTCTGAACCTCAGCCCCTGCCCTCAGCTTCCTCAGGAGGAATGACACCATCGCTGGCGGAGTGGACACTTCTCACACTGCCAGATGTTTCTGAAAGCCCAGGCAAAACTGTACACAACCTCAGCACGTTCACAGTTAGCAGGAGTTGACAGGGAAGCCCTTCAATTCACCTCAATAAAGGTGGATTTCTCCCCACAGCACCTGCCTTGCCCACCCGAGGTGCCAGGGGACATACCAGTGCCTGAAATTAAGCCATACAAGTAACCATGGGAGACAGGAAAAGGCTGCAGCGTTTCACTTGATGAACAGCAAAGAAACAGACAGGGTGGAGGAACAAATTCCTGCCCTGTCCCATGCTGCCTGCTTAAGATTTTTGCAAGCGCTAACTTCTGGCTCTTTTTTAGCCCTCAAAGAATTCCAAGCAACAGTAAAAACATACCCTGGACTTTGATCTTCTTCACTGTTTTGTCTGTGCTGTTGTTGATGGTGACAGTGACTGGAATGGGCTCGCCATGGTAGTACACCTAAAAGGAATTTGATGCTCAGAAAATCCAGCCAGGAGGCTTCTCCCACGCCCTAAGCCCCTCTCTTCCCCAGATTAAATCTTCTCAGAGGTCAGATAAGACAAGATCTCAATGATTCCTGACCCTTCTTCAATGACTTATTTAGCCTCAAATGTGTCTTGTAATGGGGTCTCAGCCCCCCCCAACAGTAGCTACTGAGATAAATTACACAAGAGCCCTTGAGTGCTGGGCTAAGAGCCGAAGTAGCTGCTTTGGGCAGCAAAATGCATATTGTCACGTTGATACTGTGACATCCACAGCCCCGTCACAAACTCCTCACCTCTTTACTGAGGCAAGCTTTCAAGTGTAGCGGCTTGTTGGACATGAAGAACTGCCAAGTGGTCTCAGCGCAAGGTTGTGGTCCTGGATTTTCTGGAGCGTATTGCACCTTACGGATCAGCAGGCGTGCAGAGTTCCTGGGAAGCAGCAGAGGACAACATGGTGGTACTTTGTCCTTGGCAGAGACAGGAGCCCTGCACTCACATGTGCTTACACCCAAGAAACCAATAACAAGTGGGGCAAATCTGAACCATCAACCAAGGTGCCCTACTGAACCACCCACCCCTTTAAGAAGGGCAAAGCTGAAGACAGACACACACGGTCTGTTACCTCTTATGAATTCTCTCTTCCACATTCTCTGTTGAGAAAGCTTTCACCTCAAAGTCGACCCCACAGCTCTGCCACAGAGAGAGAAGACAGCTGTGAAACCAGTGTCGGAAGCCAAGAGCATCTGCAGATGTTTAAACGTCTTTCTATACACCAGAAATCAGCAAATTCCTGCCAGCTGCAAATTCTTCTGGCCTCCTACCATTATAACAGAGATCCCTGCTGATGGGTGCGGCAGCATCCACCTGCTCCAGGCTGCTGCTGATAAATGAACGAGGCCTAGTTCCCAGCCTTTGAGAGATGACATCCCTCCTCCTAAAAGGCTTTCCGTGAGATCAGTGCTGTAGAGGTCACAGCACTCCACAGGCTGGAAGACTGAGCAGCCTGCAAGACTCTCCCTGAGTTTCTTAACAGCTTCGTGATGCCACTACCTGTCCTAGGGTGAACCTTCTTACTGCCCATGGTCTAAGGGCTGACCAGGCCAAGCAGACCTCTGTTTTCATGGGTTTATACTGCCATGGGACATCTGCGCGAGTCCCAGATAACTCTCTACAGAGCAATATGGGAATTTTTACTAGAATATAATTCCTTGGCAAAAAACACAGCTTATTCTTGTGGCACTGGACTGTACAACCTTCATCACACCTCGCCCAGTTGGTAGTCTAGCTGAGCTCTTCAGGAATACTTTAAATCACTGAAACCCTACAGAACATCTCATTACCTGGTGGCTTTTAACTCCAGGGTTTTGGTTTTTTTTGTTTACACACATGTGCAAGCCAGCCCTCCTCTGCATTTGTTTTAATTCAGAAACAAGCCTTAACACATGTTATTTATAGGGATCCACGAGATGTTAGGCACTCGGTCTCCTTTTCTCTCACGTAGCCTGACAGCTACAACCATTTCATGTGCAGCCAACCCACAAATCATGCGGTACCCCTCCAGGAAAACACAAGCAGTGCAGATTTAGTAGTCTCGCTGCTGTTTGACTAGATTCCCTTTCTTATTCTCAGGACTTAAATTCCAAGTCTGCAACACACACTTGTAGCTCTTAAGTCAGGTTCCTGGCATTTGCAGCACAGCAAACCCCAGTGCCATCTTATTCTACTCTCAGGCTAGAGCTAGCCAAATACATTCACGTGGCTTTTTCCATATGACTTTCCCCAAGCATGATAAGCACAAGTGTCCCCGTTGGTCTCACCTTATCAACATCACGAGGTGCAGGCTGCAGACAGACTGAGCAAGGCAGGTAATCTGGAAACTGAGGGAGGAAGAAGAGAAAAATATCCCCAAAGCAGCATTACAAAGATTTCCAACACTGCAATACTCTAACTAACAACATTGCTATCAAAAGGCAACTCTGAAGACAACAGGTCACTTGCTGTAACGTAGTAACCCTTTGAAGATCTAGCTAAGAAGCCTTAATAAACTGAGCCTTATATTTGCCTTGTATGAACAAGTCCCCCCTCTTCCAAAAGTACTTTAATAGCCAAGGGAGGGAAAAGAAAAAAAAAGATAGAAAAAAAGAAAAAAAAAGTAAAACAAGTCCAGGCACGTGAAGCACCTGGTCTAAAAATCAAACAGAGCCTTAGAGGCACAGCTAAGAGTAGAAGCTGGAATCTCTGGCTCCCCATCCAAGACACTCAGTATGCTCCCAGCAGTGCTGCTCACTGTTTACACGGGCTTGATGCTTGAGCAAAGCTCCTCTGTGTCAGAAACATGACTAAGGCCATGAAGACCAGGCAGCCACCAGCCAGTGTCCATAGCTCCTGGCCCAGGCAGGTCCAGCAACTCCAGCTGTCAACTGGGAAGGCTGCAGACCGAGTGCTAACACCCCATTAGAGACTCCAGCAGTTTGAAGATCACTAGATTGCATTTGTGTGGTTAATAACACTATGGCAGGTACCAACCCCTTTAGCAGAATCATTCAAAGACTCATCCGTTGCTGTATCTGAGCGTGTGGGTTTGAAGCCTGGATCTCCCTAGGGAACTCTATGGCAGACATGTCACTGACAGGACTGGAAGGATATCCTGTCAGAATCAGAATTTGGCAATGAGCTCTTACTTGTTGACAGCATCTGGTAAAGAGCTTTTCATCCACATGTTTGATCCATAAAATTTTTAAAGAGAAAGGATTTGGCAGTTTTTCTATGAGCACTTGAGGCAATGGTATAGAGTATTCCAGCCCCTCAGGAATGGGGAAGACAAGGATATATGGGGCTGTTTCTAGAATAAAGCCATTGTGTGTTTCCTTGCCTTTTCAAGGAAAGCACTTTTCTCACACAGTCAGGATCTTCTTGCACTTTACCACTTAGGATGGTAAGAAAAGAAAAATTGGTACATTGCCTGTCACTCTAAATTGGAACTTTGCATAACATGAATTCACTATTAATCCCTGTCTTCAGTCCATCACCGAGTCTCAGCAGCCTGGTAATAACAGACAAGGAAAAGAGGGTCAGAGGCTCTTAGACTTACTGTAAAGAAAAAGGGATAAGCATTTTTCCCCAACTTCTTTAGCAGAGATTCCTGCAAGTGGGAGAGAGTCTCTGGCTTGTCAGCAGGTGGGTAGACTTGGACCCTGGAGAAGAAGAGGTCCCGTCGGAAGGTGAGGCCAATCACATCAATGTCTTCCTGGCCGTACCGGAAAGCACAGGTCAGGGACACGTACACTGGAAAGAAACAGATGATGAGTAAAGCAGGCAGCACAGTCAGGGTGGGATGTAAAACCCTCCTGCTCTACAGAGTCAGGGAAACCCATTTCAACACTGTTGTATAACCCAGTAAGTATTCATACCATACGTAAGAACATACATTACATGAGTAAGATGCCCATTCACTGGGGAAGAGAGTTACATTTGTACCCTTAAAGTCAGGGAAACCCATTTCAACACTGTTGTATCACCCAGTAAGTCTTCATACCATATGTAAGAACATACATTACATAAGTAAGATGCCCACTCACTGGGGAAGAGAGTTACATTTAAAACAATAAAAAGGTGTTATCTCAGTATCTTACTTTAAAAGAGAATAAAAAAAAAAAAAAAAAAAAAAAGGTTCTATCTCAGCATCTTACTTTAAAAGAGAACTAACACTCTCTGAAACATATGTTGCATAAAACCTCAAACCTTTTTTCCCCTTGATAAGTGCAGGATCCACCAATACAACACCATCTGAAAGAAAGGGAAAAAATTAATTAAATAAAGATTAACAGAGGATAATCAGGGTTGAGAGAGCAGGAAGGGCAGGGTGTGTCCTTGCAGACTTACCTACAGGTTCCACAACCCCCACGTTGTCAATAAAGTCCCGCTTCCCCAGGTAGATAGTCAGCTGTAGGGAGAAGATGACCATGGTTGAACTACAAAGTGTTGATGGTTGTGCGTTGATGGGGGGGGGAAGAGTGGGGGAAGGATGACCACAACACAGACAAGAGCTATAAATCTTGCAGAGATCAGAACAATTCCATTTTAAATGGAATATTCTTTTTTTTTTTCCCAGCAAACAAGTAATCCCCACCAGAATCAACAGGATTATTCACACACTTCAGGACATCAGAACTGAAGACCTGGTGCAGATCAACTCCCAAAAGCACAACATAAATATTTGCACATGGGCCAAAGAACTATAAATTTAAAGATTTGTGGTGCCATCAGGTTGAAAAGACAATGAATCAGCTTTACGTTAAACCTTTACCAGCAGGACTACAACCCAGGAGGAATGATAGGCCAATTGCCTTCCTCTTGTATTATAATATATGAGAAGCTTGCCCTACGAACTCTGTTTACATCATCTCCTCAAACTTGGCACCAAATACAGTTCTTCAGAACTCTTTTTTTCTTCAGAAAAAAATGAAGGGGACAGGAAAGGGCTTTCTAATAAGTCTCCAGTCTGACTACAAATAAAACTCGTACCTATATAAAGCCACTATTTATGGTACTTACAGCTTTGTCACGGGTGCTTTTTTTGAAAATAACTTGTTTCTGAGGAGAAGCAGCATTCTTCCCACTCGCCCCTGTCTTTTGAGACTCAGGGCAGCTCATGGTCCAAGATGGGTGTGTGACTGGGGGGGAATGAAGCTTTTCTGCCCCAAAAGGTCCTGGGAAAGAAGTCAGAAAAAAATATCGATAGATGAGATAAAAGCAGAATTATACTTGGTGAGTAAAGCATTCTATTCCCATGTAAAGTTTACCAAAGACTATTTCAACAGATACTCAGGCACAGCACAGAAAGTAGGTTTCTTTCTATTTCAGGAGTTCCTCATAAAATAACCTAACTAAACACCAAAAAAAACCAAAAACCACACCACAAACAAAAACATCTATTTAATAACAGCTTTTCAGAAACATTACAAAGGAGCAATAACTCTTTTTAATATAAATTAAAAAAATATGAGACTAACAGAAAGATCTTGAGGGGAAGGGACAGCTTGGCCTTTGCAGAGAGGTTTGTACAGAGTAACTTTGTGACAAAAGTCTGCAGGAACACAGACAGAGGTAATTCACAAGGTACTTCAACATTCAAAAGGTACTTCAAGTTTGTCATCAGATGCTCTAAATTGTCTTGAGATAAGGAAGGTCATCTCACTTATTAATAATGGGATAAAATATAGGAAATAAAGAATACTGATACATATGGGTTTTGTCTTCTTTCAGGGTTTGGATCGTTTTGGGGAGTTTTGTTTGGGTTTGGTTTGGTTTTGTCATCAGATGCTCTAAATTGTCTTGAGATAAGGAAGGTCATCTCACTTATTAATAATGGGATAAAATATAGGAAATAAAGAATACCAATACATATGGGTTTTGGCTTCTTTCAGGGTTTGGATCATTTTGGGGAGTTTTTTTTGTTGTTGTTGTTTTTTACCATTGTAACTATCTAACAGCACAGTCTCCTCTGTCCTGGGACATTTGCTATTGAGCGTCTCTTCGGATGAATGGAAAGAAGCCCAGGTAAGGAGTGACCAGCCTGCCCACAGACACAAACCTACCCTGGATTCCCAAAAATAAAGCTGTCTACATTAAGCTGAAGGAGCATTTCAAGATGCAGGCTGGAGAGGTGATGAAATAGTGTACAACCTATAACAGCAAGTGAAAAGGATTGCACTCGAAGAAAATACAACTGTAATGTGACACATACAGTTATATTTGGTATCACTTGGGAAGAATGTCTTGACATAAGCAGAGAAGTTATTAGGAAATAAATCAACACAATCAAGAATGCCATTTTTACTCTTTTACAACCCTTTATATACCCACATCTTGGCTACAGCATGCTCAATCTAACACCTAGAAAGGTGGTATTTATTGGTAAGGGCACTTGGGAAGAATGTCTTGACATAAGCAGAGAAGTTATTAGGAGATAAATCAACACAACCAAGAATGCCATTTTTGGCTACAACATGCTCAATCTAAGACCTAGAAAGGTGGTATTTGTTGGTAAGGAGTCAGACCAAACCCCAAATGAGAACTCATCTGTCCTCCTGCATTTTCCTAAATCAGAACTGAATCCAACCCACCACTTTCAGGGTATCATTGAACTCAAAACAGAATGGACCTTAACAATATGGTCCAGCTGCCTGCCCAGAAAAGGTAACAAGTATAAACAAGAGTAGAGAATAGAGGGAGCAGCTTGTACGCAGGAAAAAAACCCATGAGTGGAATAAGATCCCAGAAAAGTTAAGTATTACAAAGTAGAGAGAGATTCTTTTTTTACTTTGTCCCAAGTCAGAAAAAAACCATGAGTGGAGTAAGATCCTTCGGGGAGGGGGGGAAGACTTATGATATGTCCAGAAAAGTTAAGTATTACAAAGTAGAGAGAGATTCTTTTTTCACTTTGTCCCAAGTCAGAAAAAGCAGCATCCAACGAAGTGATCAGACAGAAAATTCAAAGTGAAGCATTTCCTTACATAATACGAGATTTGAGACACCAGTGTGTTGCTGCAGAAGGCTCTGGAAATCACATATTTGGTGAATATGAGTTGATTCCCAGGATTAGATTCACATGGAAAAAAAGGCTTCTGGCCAATGTTAGACAGGACAATCGAGGCACAACCTTAGCCCTGTGTGGCTCTGGAGCTGAGGAGCAGCATCAGGAAAGGGTGATGCTACCACAGACCTGCCCTGTTCTTCCACTTCTCCCTTTTGGACCCTGTTGTGTCAGAGAGACTGTTGCTCTGACAGTGCAGGACTCTCCTTGAAGTTTGCTCCCATTCTTTTTTGCTTCTTGCTTTCCCATTTTAAAACTGTTTTGAGAGTAGAAACAGTTTTTCAGGCCTACTGTATGTACTTGCATGCAGCAGGCTGTAGAAAAAGAAAATGCTTCCCTTCTTAAAAAAGCTGGCAAAAAAGTAAGGGAGATTAGAGACAGACCTTACATGTGTTGAAACATTTCTATTTTAATGAACTATATAGGTAGGTTTTCCGAGCCCAAAGGAGTATTTGTTGCTGAGCAGACACCCTACTCCTGCTGTAGACCCAATTAAACAAACCAGCAAATAAATAAATACCTTGCTGTGTTCCAAATGCCACAGGAGCTGCCACGGGCCAGAGAGGTGAACTCCTAAACCTCTGAGGAAAGAAGAATATTCCACGCAGCCGTGTCCTGTGCTTCTTCACATCTACCAGAGGGAATCACTAACCTCTGAGCAAACGAGGAAGACAATTTGTAGGGGATTTTGAAAGCACGTCTCTAGTTGCGTCCATCCAGGATTTCAAGAATTAATCCCCCTCCAAGAGCAAATATTGTACCTGGGCTAAGATTCAACTGGAAAGTGGTTAAGTCAGCAACATAAAGCATTACCTAAGGAAGCTCAGATCGTCAGTGAAAAGGTCTACAATGTCACACTCACATGCTTTGCAAGGACTACAGACTTACACAAAACAGGATGGTCACCGAAAGCAGCTTTATTCTAAAGCTCTTTCTCTGTCTTCTCCTTCTATGGTTGCAAACCATCCAGCCTGGTAAGAAGCTGAACAGACAAGAGCCATTTAGGAAAAAGGGAGTTTATGAAACAGTAAACAAAGCCTCTATAAATAGATGCCATTATGAAGGACTACCAAACATTGAGAACAACATATTATTCTCGTAAATCACTAAGCAGTTTATCTATTATGGCTCCACCAACATCCCACTGGCACGCTGATGCAAACCAGTAGATGCTGGTTAGTACCCCTCCCCTTCTTAATTAATACTTATAGAGTGAGGCACAACATCCAAGATGTAAGGCACCCGAGCAGAGATTTCAATCAATTTAGCTTTTCTGTTTGTGAAATGTCTCCAGAACAGATTCCTCCTCCTCCTCCCCCCATGAATTTAGCCTTGATGTTATGGGCAACAGTGTGTAATTTTTGGCTGGCAAGCTGCAGGAACAGCTGTAGCTTTCCCCTGGGCTGCATCTGGTAGTTTGATTAGAAAGATTATGTGATATCCTCATCTTCTCTCTGCTCACCAGCCTGAGCAGCACCCTTCAGCTCAGGCAACCTCCCAGTCACAAATCAAGCTTGCTTTTTGCAAACAATCACCAGCATTTGCCTGAATATAGTGCCCTGGCTACACAAATTAGTCCCAAAAAAAATGATCAAGCTTGCTTTTTGCAAACAATCACCAGTATTTGCCTGAATATAGTGGCCTGGCTACACAAATTAGTCCCAAAAAAACAAACACAGAACCAGTGTTTCCTCAGCTCTTTCAGCGGTTTCCAAATTCCAGCAATGTTTTATTAACTGGAGGTGGATTATTTGGAGAGCTTAATCACTGCTCTGTTTAATCAACTCTGGCAAGCACAGACCAGCCAGTCCCGAACCACAGAAATTCACATGTGCCCATGTTCCTGAAGGAAAGCCAGATCCTGGTTGGAGGAAGTAGGGAAGAGACCCAAGGAATTAACCCACTAAATTGACACGTTCTATTCAGTCACAGAGTGCAAAGGCCCAAAGGAGAAAGCTGGGTTTGTTATGAGTTTGTGCTGCTGCCACCACAGGATTATGAGTCCTTCAGGAGGGGAATGAGCATTCCTGTTGTCCCATTGCAAACATCTTTGGGGGAGCATGAAAGCAGCTTCCCCAAAACACATGCTTCCTAATGCACCCTGATGTCTGGAGAAAGATGCCCACCCACTCCCCAAAGACACCTTCAGCAGAGAAACAGCCCAACAGCCACCTCTGCACAGCAGGTACCTTCGCCTTCTTCCCCCGGCAGGATGAAGCAGAAAAGGGGGCAATAGAAGTAAATAAACAAACTGTAGCCAAAATAAACTAAAATTGGTCACTAGAATTTCCTACACTCCTTGCTCCTAAGGAATTTTAATCTAAAAATGCTTAAGGTCTTAGAGCTAGCCATTATTCTCCAGTATTATTAACCTACTTCATAACAGCATCACCAGGGAAAACAAAGCCCTTTGTGCAAGATTTGTGTCCGTGCTGTAGAAAACCACAAGTATAGCAGCCTAAATTATAAACATCCTAAACCCATTCTGATCCTCCTCAGCAGAGCCTGCAGAGTTTTTATGACGTTAATCTCCCAATAATCTTTCATCCTGCTGACCTGTCGTTTAGCGATCTGCTTTTCCGCGGTAACCAAGGTCACCTGGACTCTTGGTAGGTGCCTTTTCGAGAAGGACCTTCTGCCACAGCAACAGGCAGAAGGAAAAATATCTTGCCTTTAGAAATGCTGCAGAATGGCAATGGGAATCCTTTCATTTTTGCTACGGCTCTCACTTCCAGGAGTTGGAGAGAAGGCTTCTTTTCTTATGGAAACAGGAGGGTGGTCAATGATGGTTCTTAGTGATGTATGAAACCTGTACGTTAAAGAGCTGAAGGTTTGCTTCATTTCTCTGATGTAGGAACCAGAGCATTATCTTCAACAAGGGTTTTTGTGTTTTTAAAGAAACGTGCAATTCCTATTACTGTCTTAAAAACATAACTAGGTAGCAGGCAGAGTAGCATAACAGAAAAAGCCTTCTATTTTCCTACAGATACCAATGTCCTCAATTCAGCAATTTATCCAAAACATCAGCCTTTCAAGGACAGAGGCACTTGTTCAACATGGTAAGACCTCCTTCAGTCTCAAGGCAGCATTCCTGAGACAGGGCAAGGCAAGGTTGTATGTCTGGGATGTCCAGCTCCAAGCTAAGAGCATTATCCTCTTTCCCCCTCTACACCAAATCCCACAACGTGGCTGAACACAAATCCACATTTCATCAGGAAAACACAGCACAGAAAAAGAAAAACCACATTTCAGGTTCCCCTCTTCGCTCATTCAGAATAAGGTAGCACACACAGACAGACAAATAAATGAATCAGAGCATTGTGGGGTTTTAAAAGCAGAACACAGGTTTATTTACAATCAAGTTCTTATGGGCAGCTGAATAAATAAAAACTTTGCCCCACATACTCTAATTCCCCTCTGCAGAAAGTGTCTGAACAAAAGGCTAGCTTAGAGAGATGCCCGTCGTAGCAGCTGCCCCCTAATCCAGCCCCTCCAAAGAACACACTTCCTTAGTAAAACACTATCAGAAAGAAGAAAATAAAGTGCAAATAAAAAAGGCAATAAACCGCTGGTGGCTTGTCTCGAGACCCAGAGGATGTGGAAAGATTCAGCTGGACAAAGTTACACCGGGCAGCTCCCACCCAGCCACATCATGGATTTTGGATGCTTGAATGGGCACCCAGCCACATCATGGATTTTGGATGCTTAAATGGGGACAGAGCCAAGACACTGCTCTGTAGCACAGAGAGGGCTCCAGCGCAAACAGGAGTATTGCACGTGTGCTCAAGAAGGGGGCAAGTGGCCTGGAATTGCCAGCACCAAAAGAATGGATTTGGGATTTTTAACCCCACTGCTCCCCTGTGTTCTACTGACAGCCGCCAGGACAGGACGGATGAACAGAAAAAGGGACCAAACTTCTCTACTCCAGGACTGAAGTCACAGTAGGACTACATTCCTCAGCACAGCAGCACAACAGGAGTTGAACTTCTCTCTCCTCACACCCAGTAACCAAACTGCCTGTGGAATAAAAAGATTAAAAAAATCTCCTATTTTGCAATACCCAAGCTGTTGAAGGGCATGTTAACAAAAGGGTGCAGACGTCCTGAAGGATGGAGCATTGCCCTAAGGACAGGTAAAACTGACACAAGGAGTTCACAGGACAGCGCTGGAGAACCTGTGTCCGGATCAGAGCAGATCTGAACTGAGCTGATAACTTGATGGCAAGAGCTGCCGGAGCCACAAGAGACTCTTCCAAAGCTGTTCACGCTGCCTAGGACCCGTCCACGTTTCAGGATCTTCTCACCCCACTCCTGAACTAGGCCACAGGAACAGAACCCAGGAGACAGGACATGTGTTAAGCCAGCAAACATGGTAACTTCCTTCCAACAGTTCCAACTCCGAAGTGCTGTAGATACATTTGTGTGACAGGGTTTTTGGCACAGCTGTCTGGTGAGGAATCCTGCTAGTATCTTCAGCTCCACTGGGTGCATAGATACTGCATGGAAAGGCATGACTAAGTAGCATTCTCCATCCAGAACAGCTAATCCTTTGCCGAGTCCAAGTGCCACAGTGCAGTTACGGCCGTAAAAAGTCTCTGACTCGGGCTCCTTCTCTGTTGCTTTAGAACTTTCCTCTGGAAAGTGAAGCCCACGTGCTTGTTAATATCCCAACTCAGGATGGATCTGGGCTCGGGTCTCCATTCTGTTCAGCCACGGACCAGCACCACCAGACACGGAGGCGCTGGACGCTCTGCCTTTCACCCTCCAGCCAGTCAGAATTCCGACCACAGGACAGCCTTGTTTCCTTTGTCCACACTGACCACGTGGGCACCCGCTGGTGACCACGCAACTGCATTGATAGAAGAACTGCAATGGAAGCCAGGTATAAATTTACAAAAAAGCTGAATTCCACAAAACAGCGTTTAACATCAGAATGAGACCTCATTGCCCTCGGGAGATCTCATTGCCCTCTACAACTCCCTGAAAGGAGGGTGTAGAGAGGCAGGTGTTGGCCTCTTCTCCCAAAGGACGAACGACAAGACCAGAGGAAATGGTCTGAAGTTGGGGCAGGGGAGATTTAGATTAGATATTAGAAAGAACTACTTTACTGAGAGGGTGGTCAGGCCCTGGAACAGCCTGCCCAGGGAGGTGGTGGAGTCACCATCCCTGGAGGTATTTAAGAAACGTGTAGACATGGCTCTTCAGGGCCTGCTCTAGTGCCCAAGGTTATTGGTTTATGGTGAGGTGTTGAGTGTGGGGTTTAGTTGGTGGGTGCGGTGTTTTTGGTGGGCGTTTGGTGTGGTGTGTTTTGTATTTGTTTGGTGTTGGTTTTTTGGGGTTTGTTTTTTTTTTGTTTGTTTTTTTTTTTGTTTTTTTGTGGTTGGACTCGATCTCAGAGGTCCCTTCCAACCACTAAGATTCTGTGAAATATTACAGCACTCTGGCTATCAAAGAACAAGCACTTTGTCAGCTCTCAAGAGACTCTGGCTTTTAATAAGCCTAAGAGAGATACAATTTCTTCAGAATATACTAAATGTACTTTTCACTGAATTTTAGAGTTGGAAGGGACCACAGAGATCATCTAGTCCAACTCCCCTGCTGAAGCAGGATTGCCTAGAGCTTGT